TTGCAAACTATACAAGCGCAGGGTGTGCCTAGTGTGGTTAGCACTGTAATGGTGAGTATGTTACGCATATCAGTTTCGTATGATCAAGTTTTAAACCGTTTTATCTGAATCGATTTGTAGCACTTGGATAGCGTACCAGTTAAGAAACGCAATGATGTCAAGAAATCTTTACTGAGTTTCATACAGCATTTCTTCCCTTCTGAGACGAAGCTTTATTGCGGAAGTGAGAGTCAAGTATGGACTGTTTTTCATTTGAATTCAGTTGTAAAGTCATAACTTTTACGTCTTGTCTAAATATTAAGACATGTTGTAGGATGCATTGACAATTCTCAGGACAATATGTACCCAGACTCCAAAAGAGATTTCATGGCGTGATACTCACCCATATCTTTTGGCAGAAGACGTATCATTTATAGCCAATGACGACAATGAGGTACTTGAAGATGGGATTGTAAAGATTGTATGTGAAATGAACGTATAATCATGATCTTAATTATAGAATATTGGTACATTGCGGGTAAGTGGGTACGCACGAGGCGTGCCTTTTTCCGCTAATCGCCTCGTACACTTGCAAAATTATGGGGATTTTCAACTGAAAGAGGTATTACATTAAATAATTCGTAATCACTTTATAAGATTTACCCTGTTGGAAAGTTTAAATTTATCGAACGTTTGTAACTTTCAACCATAGATCAGCTCATGCCCAACAACCCGAGAGGATACCGAAGAAATGGTGGGACAGTCATTAGTTTCCGCATTAGACCAATCCATGCATAATCCTAAATTTGTTGATCTCGCAGGCAATGGACGCGAAAACGCTTGAAACGACAGATCCAGCCTTACAGGATTCTCTAGTTGCCGAAAATGAGCCTGATCTCATGCAGAATGAACAGACTTGGCCAACAAGAGAAGAACTTGATAAAGCGGGTATGTTTTATGATATGGCTTGTCGTTATCTATAATTGTGGTGTTAACTTATTTAGAATGAAAGATCAATCGATGTCTGTCGAGTCTGATAACCTGCCGGATGCTAAACCTGGCACGACTCCAAAGAGAATTGTGAAACGAGTTCCAAAAGGGACGTCCGCCTATCAGGCAGCATGGATTGTTGACTCGGAAGATGAATACAGTGAAGAAGATGACGACGAAGATGAAACTATGGCATGTGATGATGACCAAGAGGAAGAGAGTTCAATTAAGCAAATCGAAGAAGAAGATGATGAAGAAGAGGAATACGAGGAGATAGAACTGGAGACTAGAAACCCAGTTCCATCTGACCAAATGGACGAAGATGAAGAGAAACAGTCTGTATCAAATCCTAGTGTAACTGTAATGAATGATAATCAACGTTCCATATCATTTTTTTTCCTCACGACCTACCTTCTCCGATGCTTATCAAAGACTTCAAGAATATCTTGAAACACGTAAGAAGGAAAACCGCGAGGATTTGCAATTTCCAGATGAAGTCGACACTCCGATGGATATCTCGGCACGAGTGCGATTTCAACGATACCGTGGATTGGAAAGCTTTCGTACATCCCCATGGGATCCCTATGAGAATTTACCTATAGATTATGCAAGAATATTTCAATTCGCGGATTACAAGCGAACTCTGAAGAGAGTTACTGCCGAAGCATTGATTGGAGCTGCTAAGGTAAAAAAGGGGGCAATCGAGTCAAATTTCTGATAGAGCTTGGATCAAAAACTTCCTTCTCTTTATAGCCGGGAATGCGTATTACTTTGCACATATCTAACGTACCGAAAGAAGTTAAAGGTAATATATTTTCTGTGCTTACATAGTGTATCATCCACGTTCACTGATCATGTTTTTAACTCTTTTCACAGAGTCTTTTGATCCATCCCGTCCATTTATAATCTTTGGTCTGCTTCAATACGAACATCGCATCTCCGTTTTGAACTTTGTCCTCACACGCACATCACATTACACAGAGCCAATCAAGTCTAAAGATCCCCTTCTAATACAATGTGGCTTTCGAAGATATACAATTCATCCATTGTTTTCTCAACATACACACAGCAGGAAGGGAACCAACAATGTACATAAGTTTGAAAAATTCTTAAATGCAGGAAGAACGAGTATCGCAACAATATATGGGCCGATTGTGTTTGGCGCAATGCCATGCTTGGCGTTCAAAGATACAGGAGATATTAACGGTACGGTTCGTCTGAGCAAAGTCTCTTAAAAATTCTTTTATAATTTTGGTGACGCTGACACGAATTTTTTTGCGTATCGTTAGACTCTATCCTAGTTGCCACTGGATCGTCCAACGGTGTCGAGCCAACACGTATCATTGCAAAGAGGATAATATTGACAGGTTATCCACTAAAAATAAACAAACGGTCTGCAGTTATACGGTACATGTTCTTCAATCCAGGTGAGAACATTTCAAATTTATTGATTGACCTGCCTGCTTGTTCTTCGGTTTTTAGTATTAATACGTCCAACATCACATTCAGAGGACGTCCAGTGGTTTAAACCAGTTCGGCTCCATTCGAAATATGGACGCACTGGACATATTAAGGAATCATTGGGTACTCATGGACATATGAAGTGTGTATTTGATTCTCCGATAAAGCAACAGGATACAGTCATGATGTATTTGTATAAAAGGGTTTATCCCAAATGGGGAACAACGGAGATTTGGAAAGGAGGATTGGAGGATAAGATAATCGAGGATGAAATAAGGGAGAGAAAGATGGAAATGTAGGTACTATAGACTTATTAAGCCTATTTAGTGTTTAATAAACTTTAATCTCAAACGTATTTTACATTTGTATACTTGTGTTAATTGATGACAGTAAATATCACGTGATATAACCGATTTTGTAAGAAATGTTAGATTTGCTATTTTTCTAACTGATAAATTAGCCATGGGTGCTTCGTTTATTATCGGAGGAAGGCAAGTGCCGAGTAAATATGTAAGAAATAAGCGATTGAACTTCTACTTGGACTATTAATTAGTAATGTTATTTGTTATAAAACAAGTGTTAATAGACTATTTGCGACTTATCACTATTCGTCTCCGCTAATCACTTTCGCAGCTTGCATTAGCAACCTATGCAGCGGTTGCAACACCTATTCTGCTTCTTCGACTGCGAGCAAAAGCAAAGGAACCTGACCCTCGTTATACGTCTCCTCCTATAAATGCTTCTTCTCCCGAGGAAGAAGCATTTATCAAGGAATACTTGCTTGAAGCTGAGAAAAAAGAACACTAAGAGTCAAACAAGTGTGCTGACGAGTGAGTGCACATCAAAGTGATATTTGGCGAATTTCCTATGAAATGTTTATTTGACATTTATTCAATTCAACTAGCAAGAAAAACATTGCCGGTTGTTGTAACAAAGAATTTTGAAACTTTCTTTCCTACGAACATAAATAACAAAAAGACTGTCTTTAATAAGGTTTCTGCTTGTTTACTGGTAATCATTCAGCCTTTTCCTCTACGGTTACCTAGACAAAGTAAAATGAATCACAGTTAACACCGATTAATTTGGATAACATTTACTATAAACGTTTTGCAATTTACCCCATCCACGCGGATTAGTATCTTTGAAATCGTCCCATTCTCTAGCCCTATACGTCTCGGCATTAATCGCTGCCTCATCCATATCGTCCACAACTTCTTTCTCGGGCATTGTACTAGACAATAGATACCAAATGAGTACATTACACTAGCGAACGAGATATCACAGTCGCGCCTAATTACCCTCCGCCAGAGATAATATTTCCTCGCTGCTGCTCTAACTCTAAATACTCTTCGATGGACATGGTTGGCAGTTGCCAATGAGGTCTCCATAAAGAATTTTGTATTTCCTCTCGTCTGGAAGTCAAAACAAACGGGCGCTGAGGCTGCATTATTGGTAACAACACAAATTGGTTAAATTTCACATATGTACAATATTCGAGACTAAAGGAAATAGCCCTTCCAAATACCATCAAACGTGCACGCTTAGCTAGCACTCGTATTACGTGCAAAACGACCAGTATTCTTTATAACCTATGTACTCACTTTTCCGTCTTTGTCCAACAGTGACCCATTACTACCTGTAGCTCTTTGAGGTTGATGAACATTGACTCGATCATCTGTTTGTTCATTCCGTGATTGCTCTTGCATCCTTTTCATTATGATCACCATTTCAATTTCGTTCATAATAGCTTTTAGCTCATCAACTGATTTTTGAACAAACAATTCAATAAGCTTCAAAACATGTTTTCGATCAAGGTCGTCCTTGTCTTCAGTTAAGGCGTTTTGAAGAAATGATTGAAGAGTCTTGGATGTGCATAAAAAAAAGATCATAGAAGCAAATTTAAGTGACAAGATTAAACAGACAATTATGCGATGACGTTTTAACGGTCGTCCAAACTAATCTGAAACACTATTCATTCACTACATAACTCTGCCGTACCTTCAATTCCTTTTCGGTTTCCTTCTTCCGCTTCGCTCGTGCTATTTTTTCATCGCGCGATCTCGCAGGATCGCGCGTAACTTGTGCTTTCACGGATTCAAGGTATTTCTTATCCTAATTTAAGATAGATCGAGTCAATCTAAGTGTCGAAATCCATAATACTTTATGTCATTTCTCTATCCCTCTCGCTCACCTGATCGGATATAAGGGAATATAATTCGACATTTTCTAGAAATTGTTCGAGATAGAGCTAATTAAGGGGAGTTGAGTGTCAAATCCGATGAAGAGAATTTGAAACGAAACCAAGCAGAAAGAAAGACGTTACCTTTGCCTTTTCAAGACAGACTAGTCGATCTCCTTCATTAAGTTTTATATGTAGAGCCCCAAGGTAAGCTTCGACCAATAAATACCTTGATCGACAAATGCATTTATAAGAATATCAATACGAGCAGCATCATGACGACGAACCATTTGCATTTAGAGACCCGTATAGCATATACTATCGTATTTGTGCTTGACTTACTTCAAATCAGTGGTGCTTATATCATCAACAGTTTCATTAATACTAAACAAGCTCAATTCTCTTACCAAGTGTTCACATCTAGTGAAATGGCCAATCGCCTTCTTTACGTCGTTCTAAAGAAGTAGAGGGTTGGTTAGAAATTACGTAGATCAATAATTAAGATTGATTGAAGAAGGGAGGTAGTACTTGATACCCGGAGTCAACTGAATCAAGAGTTGACTCTTCAATAGAAGTATATAATTGCTGCCCTTGTGTGAATTCCTCACTTAAAGATAGGCCTGACATGTGCGAGTTTTTCCTGGTGTGTGGTTGTCTGGTCGTCCCATTAATACTAATTTAGTGTGTATGACTAATACAATACTGGTAAATTTAATGACATCATGTTTGAACACGTGATTAGATACGTTTTAGTTCACGGGATAGCTCTCAGAATGACGTATTCCTCCGCTTGGTAACACAAATCTACGATCCTGCGGCACGATTAAACGCTTGTGTCACATTACACTGATGACTATCCATGACCAATAAGGTACACACACATCACATCAACAAAAACAGACTCGCATCAACAACAGCCGGCGAAGCTTACTATACACATGACTCGACCTTTTCGTCCGATCAATAACTTGGATACGCAGCTACAGTGGCTCAAAGATCACCGAAAGCGACCTCGCGAGGATTTAAACGATTATGTTATATCTCCCCCCAGGAAAAGACCTGTAGTGAATAGCATTTATTTCTCGCACAATAATTCAACGCGTCTTAGTAATTCATCAGAAGATACGCTTGTTGAACCGGACCGCACTCACCAAGAAAATACGAATCCGTACGATGATGGCTTCATAAATGATTACTATGACGATTATTATAAAGATATTCAATGGGAGGATATAGAGTCTGCAATTATGGAAAACGAACAAAACGAAAAAGGCGATGTAAGAATTGGCCGCGTTTACGGTAAAGATAGAATTGTATTGTCTTTATCTCGATACTAAGGCAATGTTTTTCCATAGGGATTCACATTAATAAGCTCGGACGAAGAAATGGAGGACGATCAACATGACCGAGAATTATCGGCAGTAACACCGAAGGACAATCTTAAGAATCAACATGATCGAGAATTATCAGCAATAACACCGAGGCACGACTTCAAGAATCAACAAGGTCGAGAATTATTAACAATAACAGCGGAGGACAATTTTAGGAATAAACATGATCGAGAATTATCGACAATAACACCGGTGGACGATTTTAGGAACCAACGGGATCGAGAATCATCGGTAACATCAACGGAGGACGATTTTCAGAATCAACAAGATCGAGAATTACTGGTAATAACATTGGACAGAAAACCTCTTTGGCAAACGTATGCACAGTTTTTAATTGTCAAAATTATCACTGAATTAGGACACCATCGACATAACGTCAGACGACGAATTTTATGAACTTGATGTACGTGAATCTGATTCTCTTACTAACGATAGTGTCAAAGGATGTGATTAATTGCGTTCTAATCAAACAATTTCGCTTTCGTGGTAATTAGCAACTTCCGTTACAACAATTGGAGACAAACTTATTGGAAGCTAAACAAAAGAAGCAACAGATAGCAGATCAGATTCTCGATTTACAGGACGCTAATGCTGACGAAAGTACTATTCAAGCACTGTATTATGAACGGTATTTATTAATGAAGGCATTATACACCTCATTTATTTAATACTTATGTTTATTTTCACACAGATCACAGATAATATTTCGCATTGCGACACTTAACTCAAAAATTGAATCAATCCAAATCTCACCTGATATCTCACCCAACATCTCACCCGACATATCACCCGATATCTTATCACTACCTTCGACGTCAACTCCCGCGGTCATCGATGAGGAGGAAAAACAGTCCTATCCATGGACGGCAGAGGTCTATTCTCTCTTGGCTAATCCATTTAAACTGCTTTCTTTCAGAGAAAAACAACTGGCAGCAATAAATACAACACTTTCTGGTAAAGACGTCTTTGTGCTGATGCCCACTGGAGGTGGCAAGAGTCTTTGTTACCAGTTGCCAGCTCTAGTAACGACGGGCGTTACACGTGGAGTTACTATCGTTATATCACCCCTCTTAGCGCTAATAGAAGACCAAGTGCAACATTTGATCAATTTAGGAATTATGGCGTGTGTAATTAATAGCTCTCAAGATGCAAAGTCCAAGCAACTGGTATATGACCAATTAGATAGTCTAAATTGTCAGATAAAATTGCTGTATCTGACTCCTGAGATGGTTGGCAAAGGAGTGAAAGTAATGGATAAGATTCAGAAGCTGTATGAGAGAAAGTTCCTCGCTCGATTCGTCATTGATGAAGCTCATTGTGTTAGCCGGTGGGGTCGTGAATTTCGACCCGAGTATAGTAATCTCGGAGTACTCAAAGGACGCTTTCCGGATGTTCCAACGATGGCACTCACAGCTACCGCCAATGGAGAGGTTCGCGAAGACGTGATCAATACGCTGCATTTGAAAAATCCGGTCACACTCGTCCGCAGTTTCAACCGACCCAATCTATTCTACGAGGTCAGAGAGAAGAAGAGCAAGACAGTTTCGAGTGATATAATAGACTTTATACGAGATGAAGGTGTCGGGAAAGCAGGCATTATATACTGCAGAACAACTGAGCAATGCGAGAAGCTGTATAAGGAGTTAAGTGTACAATATGGAATCAGTGCTGCATTTTATCACGGGAAACTGAGACAACAAGAACGACAGTCTATTCAAAAAAGATGGCAAAATGGTGAATTACATGTTATTTGCGCCACCATTGCGTTTGGTATGGGAATAGATAAAGCGGATGTGCGTTATGTGCTCCATCACACCCTACCTCAGTCGCTTGAAGGATACTACCAGGAAACGGGTCGAGCGGGAAGAGATGGGAAGCCGTCCAAATGTGTATTATATTACGCCAAAAGAGATAAAAGCAACATACGTTTTTTGATAACCCAGTCGCAAGAATATTCATCGGATCAGAGAAAACGTCTGCTAAACAATCTTGAGCAAATGGTTTCATACTGCGAGAACAAGTCTGTTTGTAGAAGAGTTCAAGTATTGGAATATTTTGGAGAAAATCTATCACCTGATCAATGTAAGAATAATTGTGACAATTGTCGGAGGAAATTGTATGGTGAACCAGTTAGTCCTCAACCGAAGAGTAAATCAAGAAACAAGTCATATATACTGAATGACATTGATATTAATGATAATAATCGAAGGAATGAGTATCGTAGAAATGGAAAGAAAAGATGGAACAATGGAAATAATAAGAGCAATATAATAGTGCCTGCTCCGCAGAGGAGGAGTTTAAGAAATGCTCTAAAAAGATTTAGAGCCTAGACAAATGTTAACATTCACATAAATAAATGATATTTTTATTCGGGAAATGAATAATAATATAATTTATTCCTGCACACAAGTTTGACTTATGAATTAGATCTGGCGAGGATATTTGTCAAGTTCAATGACAATGATTGTTCATACTGTATGAACATATAGTAGATACTAGTCAAACTAAAAAAAAAGAGAGAGAGAGAGAGAGAGAAAGAAGCATAAAGTTATGTCGGTGCTCGCCCTAGTGATTGCCTTCATTGTAGTATCCGGAAGAACTAGCGCTAGTTCCTGGTCGAGAAGCCAAATATTATGAAACCCTACATAATATTATTAAGAAGGTAGGCGATAACGTGGCACTGGGCTGTGATGAGCATTTGGAAAATGAAAAGCTATTATCTGGACGAGATTACAGTATTATCGTTTTTTGAGCACAACCCTTTTCGAATGTTAATTAGTTTCAAATTCGGTTATAGTCCTCCTTCACACACGTTAGCTTCGATGAGACTGTTCATGACAATGACAGGAAGCTCCTCAACACCCTTTGATCGTCGCGTCATTTCAACATTGTGTAACTGTTAAGCTCGTGTTACATACAAATATTTCTCGAAATACTCTTAATCGTCGAATTTATCCTCATCATTCGAGAATCGGCGTAGGTTACAACTTTGCACAGATAGAGATACCACTGCTTTAAACAATGAAATAGTTTATTTTGATGTTGCAACATAAGTTTAGGGAATGAAGACTTCTTCGCATTACTTTTCAGCCAACCCACGTAAATTCATCCTCGTCGTCAATATAAATGAATTCATGTTGCGAGTTTTCACTCTGATCTACATTTTGAGTCGAATATGATGGAATTGGTGACGGGGGAGTTGGCTCGAAGCAGTCATCGTAAGTTTCAAAATCAGCCCAATCGCGTATTATAAGATCATCTTCGTCGTCAATACAAATGAATGCACTCTGCGAATTATCAGTCCCATCTGCATGCCGAGTCGAAGATGGTGGAATTGGTGACGGAGGAGTTGGCTCAAAGTGGGATACTGGAGATTGTCGTTTTGGAGAGGATGTAACTGCCGAGGAGGGTGGTACCTGACTATCTGGATCAACTGTCATTCTTAATGATATAATAGCGGTGAATGTAGGTTTTAACCAAGTAAAGAATGTAGCTCTTCCGTGTTTCCAATAGTTACCCTAAACAAGTCATTACTTTCTTCTTCAATTCTTCTATGTTACGTATCTTATCGTATCCACAGCCAAGCACTTTGGTATTACTTGAATCTAAGAGTAACACGCCCCTCAACACACGAACATTGCTTAATTGGATCTTTCCTTCGATTGGGATCAATTACAAACATTTTTTTTTTGGAAAACGAAATAAAAGTTAGGTGCGAATAACTGACATTCTACTTGCATATTAAAACAACTCTGCTTCTTTCTTACGGGTAAACCCACCTTCATGCCTAGTACCGTATTCAAACTAATTTCTTGTATCGGTCTATACTCGATCCCATCCACGATCTGTCGCCCATCGCTCAACACAAATTTCAACATCTTTCTTGGAAAATCACACGGTTTATCTCTCTCCTCTCTAATATCCTTATATTTATTTCCTTTCTTCACAGAACCGGTTTGGTATGCGCAGATCGTATCGAATATGCTTTGTAATGATATCCCCACTTCCATGATATCAAGTATCTCGAGAACGATCGGTTTAGATACGGCAATGCGGCTATCATGCAAATCTGTCGTATTCGGTGGGAGAGAGGGAATGGAGGATAAACGAAGCGGGGTGCGAAGGAAGACATTATAGACATGAGTAGTCGCAGACGAAGAGGACGAAGAGGATGAAGAAAGGTTAGAGAGTGTATCAGAAAGCCACGTTGGGTTAAGATAAATACTCCGGGAGTTGAAGTAACGTGTTAAGTCCGAGTTCATTATTGGCGAGTCAAAGAAAAGAAAAAGAAAATTTACCAAACTTGTGAACACGTTATAGGTATGCCCTAGATACACGACATTAGAGAACGTGTTTGTGTTCCGTATGACGGGCTTCATATTATGTTACGGAAATATCCAAACGTAATAAAATGCAAGTTCCACTTAACATTATTATAATGCTCTGTTTTGTGGTATAATTTTGGGAATACTCTCAACAATGTCTTTGTTTGGGAATGCTCTCAACAATGTCTTTGGGTGGCGAATCTCCTTTATACAACCGAATGTTATATATATTAGCATCTAATTACCAGACTGGTAGATCTCTAATGTATAATTTGCAGTAAACAATTAGTATTAGATCGCATTTGTCAAAATCCGAAGAATTGATAATGTAGAAAAAGTCTCCGGATAAAAATCAGGAACACTTATAAAAGCCTTACGCTAAGATAAAAGCACTGACCGTCAAAATACACCAATAACAATCCTCCTTATTTCGGGCATTACAAAAATCAAGTTGCAATTTCTTTTTTAGCACCCACTTTTGAAATCCATTTTTTTCTTAGGATTAGCGCCTCGAAACTTTATTATGCTAATTTCTATGGTCTCTCGAAAATAAATCCTAAAGGGTTGGTTGCTATTACTATTACTGCCCATTTAGATTTAATCTAACATTGTTTACTACATGATCATAAATAGCCAAACGGAAATTGCTCCCAACCACACTATCCATGTCTGTCTCAGGCGGTAACAATATGGCCTTGATTTCACTTGCTCTGTCACGTTCCAACGCTCGCTCAATAATGTCGCCGCTTTCCTTAGTAACCAACACGCATGTAATCTTAACTTCTTCTAACGAGTTCTCCGATGGAATCACAGGTTGAAACAAGTGATTTTCATCTGAGACTACTATCACTGCTCTGGCACCGGCATCCTGCGCATGAATAGCTTTTTCATAAAAAGTACATTCCCCTCGCTTTACGATTACATACGAGTTCAGCAGTATAGATTTTTCAGATGATAAGTAAGGAGAACAACCGTACGGAGCTTTCGGTAAGTAGTGAATATTGTAAAGAGGATGAGGAAAATAATGATAAACCGGAGGTGAGAACGCGGCAGTTACACCAGAAATGTTGATGTAATCGTGTAAAGAAGAGCGATAAAGTCGGAGCGTGATTTTGGAATAACTTTGTTGCTTTAGCCAATGTTCCTTTATTGATGGGTCACGTATTTCCAAAACTTCGCCAGGAGCAATTCTGCGTGGATTGAGAACGAAAATCAAGTCAATTAAAGCAAACTGAAACGGTAGTTTGTTAGTTGTGAATTTTTTTGAGCATACCTGTAATCATCCACTGCGAATCAAAGACATACAAAACACTAACGTTAGTCTCTCGTTCGACAAAGCCCACAAAAAAGGCTTGCTTATATCCAATTCACATTTTCATACTCTCTACCACTTGTACATTTTTTACCTTTTGATATATCGTATCCATTCCTATCAGAACGCATAGTCAACTCTAATTTAATACCAATCAGCTGATCAACAATCACTCCGCCATCGAACTTTGTCGGTGGCATTGGCTTGTAATTCTGTGGTAAACGTTCTCCGAAATTCACTTCAACTACAAGCGGCGAGGTGGAAACCGACTCGCAGTATGCTCGCGCATGCGATGTGGTAATGTCGGCGTTGAGACCAACCAGCACTCTCGCGTAATCCGCATCAGGTCTATCCAGGATGCTGGAGAGAAGTCCGGGTTGTGGAATATAACGAGGGCAGGTTGGCATTGCGAGGCTAGGGTCCTGATTTTGGAGTATGGAAGGCCGAAATTTGAGGTAGGTGCTTGAGAGCGTGAGGATGTGGGCCTCTGTCGGAACAATACAAATGGTTTAATCTTGTTCATTTTACAATGTATGCGTCACGTTACATCCCTTACCAGTCGTAAATACAACATTGCTATCCAATGTATTAAACTTGTTATCTATTTAAAAGCGTGTTGGCTTTATATCGTAAGCAACTTTTAGTAATTTGGATGAAAACTTGCGTAAAACTTACCAATATCAAATAATAGATACAAATACTTGAACGTTTCGCTTAATAGAAAGCTTTCCATGCGTGGATCGAGCTTTCCCTTGAGAACATTTTCCACACTAGCATATCCGCAATCCGTACGATAAAGCTCCAAGTCGTTCAAGACCATTTCTCCCACACTCAAATAGAATGGATTGCGCGTGGCCTATTTGAATCAAGACATAATAAGTACAAGACGGGCATACACGGATAAAGTCGCAACAAAATCTCTGGCTTCTTACTCTGTACAAGAAATACGTGGATTCAATGAACTCTGGTCGTAATGGGTATGACGCTATTTCCGCCCTCCTTAGATAATAATTAAACCTTTCCGGCAATGCATGATATCTCTTCCAAATGTTGTAATATAGTAAATGTAATTTGATTGCATTTTCAACATCGCCTGCCAATACCTACAGACAACATCATTAATACTAGATCGAGTTCACCATACGATCCAAGAGCGAAGTTATCGCTGTTTCACCTGCAAACCTGGAAAATAGGCTGCTAAACTATCCACCCAAGACGACATTATTGCTCTATTATGCATGTTAATATTTTGGTATAAATATCCACTACTGTCTCTGATATATTTCTTAATTGCCGTGTATGCTTGCAAGAACACTTCGTAGTATTCTTCTTCACCAAATAACGCGTACGCTTTGAGGAGATATTCAAAAAACGAGTCTATTCCTGCTCCTACGCCAGACGCTACGTGAATCCAATAACCTGTTTGAATGTCTATTACGTTTCCGACGAGATCTAATTCCGTGCGTCTATTCCATAATGCATATAAGGCTTTCTTTGCTGCGTTCTGATAGAAGAAAGTTACAAATAATGTTAAAAACAAACTGACAACAGTTGACAGACTATTGGCAGCATGATTGACATACTTCAAATCGGGTATCATTGGTTAATCTGCTAAGAGTACCGAATTCCAAGATTAATGAGCCAGCTCCGGCTGTACAAGTCTCCTCTATCTCATCCTTCGGTAATCCATATTTGAGGTTGACCTGTATTATCATAGAGCAATAAATTCGTGTACGCTCTCCTCCTTTGCTTGTCTAACTCCCATTCAACGCAACATTCTTAATAGACAAACCCTTGGATACGGGATCCCCGTTTTGCTATGCGCAAAGGCAGGCAACAATCTCTCTCCCAGGTCATACGCCATCTCCAACAACTCTCCTTTGTACCAGTCAATCTCAAATCCAAATCGCTTATCTGTCGCAAACAAGTGCGCTGACAACTAAAATTACAGAGTTAATTAACATCAAGCAAAATTTGAGAAATCTCGATCGTGAACGAGTAATAGTACTCACTAATGCGCCTAATACGCGTATGTTTACTTCGAATACTTGGATTTTGCTATCAACATCAAATGACACGTTATCTATAACTAATCTGATAGCGTTCTCAAACCTATCTTTGTCGCCGAGAATCTGATATGAAAAACAAAAAACGATAAGCAAAGGAATAATCATATAAGACACCTGCTTGATAAAGATAAAATTAATCTCTTACGACAAACGTGTCCAAAGAATCCACGAGCGTCAATGAGAAATCTCCCAAGACATCATTGATAATAATGTTATCTCTGATACAGATATAAGATAAAAATAAGAACAAAGTTCGACCGGTTGAATACAATAACTGATATAGTACAATCATTGAAGAACACACGGCTTAACACTTGCGGATTTTGCTTGTCACGTCCTCGTCCAACGCACTGTATCGGATCTAGCTAACACGCGAGATCGGTCGAGAAAAATGAAAATATTATGCATCTCAAACATATATTGTCAATCGAAGCTAACGTCGGCTGATTCAGGTTACCTCGTCCTTTGGAAAAGCGTATTTCATATAGTTGTCGAATCCATGATAGAACATTTCCTAATTTTGTATCGAAATGTGAGGAGCCGAGCTTTTACAATAGTTGTTATCATGGAAACAGCAAGGCACCTTCGTGTAATCCCTATAAAAAAGCAACAATTAAACATGGGTATTGCCACTATCACGTTGACCGTTTTCGTTTGATCGTTCACCTTAGCTCTATTCTTCTCTGTTCTGTAAGTCCGGCTACGAAAGGAGAGCCCAGTACGAGTAATATCAGTATTGATATAGACAACATTTTTGTTTTCAATACTAAAGCACTATAAGCTGTGATATTAAAATACTAAGCAAAAATATAACGCCCACCACGGAAAGATTTCAGGGAACACAAAATTGATTAATTAAAAAGCGAACGCACAAACATTTAGTTTGTCCGATAAACAAAAGCTCGTGATTGCAGTTGATCTTTTTATCATCTCCTCAACAAGATAAACTAAATGCTTGGAAATTTTAAGTGAAAGCTAAACGACCTAAATCTGCGTCAGATCTATTTGGGAAAGCAAATCCTAACAAAGCTAGTAATCTTTTAATTGGGCTTAAATACTTATTCGTTTTGTATACACAGACTCTCGAATAGGCTCTACTTTTACCGATGAGTTTAGTTTCGATGACGTATAGATTCAATAAAGGAAATTTCTAAACGCGTTTATAAACAATCGCATGTCGCTAATCCTTATAGACAGTAAGATCATACGCAATCGCTAGCAACATTATGTATACGTTTTTATAATAATAAGAGCAATTAACAATAAAATACAAGGCGAATGAAGGAATGTTAAGGTCCAAGAGGTCTCAACTATACTGAACATGTGCTGAAGATAGCATGGTTTATATACATTTCTATCGTAGCGGGCTATTTATGCCATTGATATTACTGTAAAATACAGTCACGATTAGATAGTCCAATTTTCTTATTATTATACGTGTGACATCCGGCACACGAGATAAGTTTGGATATGACAAGACTGGCTTATCATGATCAATCTTTTTCGTATTATTATTATCTGTTACATGTGATGAAAGATGGTGATGTTGGTCACTC